AGCCGATGCCAAGCGTCAGCAGGAGCTGGAAGATGCCTACTGGAAGGATGAAGACAAACACGTGATGAGGAAGGAGCAAAGGAAGGTGAATGATTAGTCAGGTAGAAGGTTATCTTGTAGCCGGTCCTTCACTAAGCCCGTGAGATCCCGGCTGGCTCGGAAAAGGTCTCTTCTCCTCCTCTGGCCCCCAGCTGTAGCTGTCCCTGCGCACGTTGTCCTGCGCTTGGTTTCTGGCAGAAGAGCTGGAGCTGGTGGCTTCTCTGGGAGCTAAAAGAAGCCACGTGTGGGAGGGAGTGTAAGCTTTGATGTGTAATTCAGAAATCTGGTGGATCTGAGCGCTGGCTTCCCGAGGGAGGCAGTAAAAGCTTTATTGTTGGAGTCATTTAAAATTGAATTAAGTAAAAGATCAGGAGCTCTGCTGCAGGGCTTGATTTTTCAACAAGCAGTACTTTAGCTTTTCTTTCATTCTTTTCATTTCTTAATTTTTTGTGATTTTTGTAGAAGGAGAAAGAACTTGGCAGGGCTAAGGCTTCCAGAGCTTTTTTCTCCCCCCCAGCTCGGTGTGCCACACATCAGGACATGTCTCAACGCCTCTGTTCGCTCGCGCTCCCTGGGTGCCCGTTTGCCTCAGTGTTCGATAACCCGAGCCCTTCAGTGCTCGTTTCTGGGTGATTTGGTTTTTAGCGTTGTCCTGCGTCAGCATTAGACAGGTGAAGCTTCTGGTTTTGTGGATTTTTCTAGGAACAGTTGTTAGTGATAACTTAGCTGCCTCTTCTGAAGTTGTTTTTTTACCCTCACTGTGATCAGACAGGGCTTCTGCTGCCGACAGACATGGGATCTGTGGGGTTACTGGTGCTGAATCCGGGGCTTGCTGAAGGTTGTGTGGTGGCACTCGAGTACACTGGCTGGGCGGGCGGGCGGCCAGCGCGTCCTCGTGACCTTGGTAGCTGCGTGCTGCGTACGTCTGCGTGAGCTCAGCCCGAGTCTGTGTCCTGGCGTTTGGAATTTGGAGTCCGGTGTGCTGTTCCCCCCTGCAATCCTGTAATGCTGCCTAATTACTTCCTGGAACGAGGACTTATTATTGCTCTACTTAAGACTTGGCCAACGGTGACCTCTTTTACTGGGCTTCCAAAACAGCCTCCTGCAGGCGAGGGGCACGGGGGTCTGGCGAGGGGAGCTGCGTCGTGAGCTGCAGTTGCTGCTAACTGGAAAACCAGCGTCCGCCCCAGAGCTGCAAACTGGGCTTTGGAGAAACCAGTGCGGCGGTTTCCACTCAGCCCCTCTCCCTGCGGCAGCGCAGCCCGAGGCTCCCGGGCTGCAGTTCACCACAAGGCG